TCTAATACCACTTTTTAAATGCACAACCTTTGCTCAAATGATACACACACACACACACACACACACACACACACACAAAAGAATTCAAAACAAGAAGTATGTTGTTTCTTCATCCTTTAGCTTTCTAGTTTTGAACTATTACCCCTTATTGGCAGAGCCTACCGAGATTCTACTTGGCAAAGGAGAAGTGCTGTTTATTGTATTCCAACATCAGCACCTTAGAAAATGGCATGCAGATGTGGATTAGAGACTGAGAAAGAATTGCTTGATAACCAGCACATTTATTATCTGGCAACATCAGTTCTGCAATCAGCAGGAGAATGAATTATGCTTTAGCTTTAGCAGTGTTTTTCTGTTTTGTTTTCAAATCTATATGTATAGATGCAAAAGTAATTAGAAAAAAAAGTGCAAATTCTCTCTTGCACTGGCTATCATCTCATTACCCACCAATTTCTTAAAACGTCATATTCTGACATCAAGTTCTTCCTACTCAGATTGAAAATTTATGAAATCATACTCTACTTAAACTATGGTGAATGTTTACCACCCATCCAAGGAGGAAGATGTTTACTTTGCATTATTTACTTGGAATTGGGAGCAGTTTGTTCTGAGAGAACATATCTAATCAGGTTCTGAATTTTCTTTAATATTCTCTTTTTTTCTGTCCATCTCAATGAAAATGGCCTAGCAAAATCTGATACCTACCCCAAACCAATTGATATAGCAGAGGATTGGGAAGATCTCATTGGTCATCTAGGGTCATGAGTCTACCTCCTTCATAGAGATAGGATGCCATCCTAAAAAAAATAAAAAGTACATGCCAGTGTTGTCTCTGCTTATGGCCTGGCAAGGCATGTGTAGAATCTGTAGTCAATTGAAGAGAAGACCTAATCTGTGGCTGTCTTTCTTGGAATTTCTCACGGTGTTTTGTCTTATAAATGCAGAATTTAATACTAAAAGAGGGCAATTGAAGTTCTCTGTGAATATTGCCTACATGTGACCTATTTGATTCATAACAATTTTACATGTTATTTTTTAAGTTCATGCTGAACTCTGTAAAAAAAAAATTAACCAGATTTTAAGTTTTTTTAAAGCAAAATTTTTCATAGGATTCTCTCTTTCTTTCCTTCTCTCTTCTCTTTCCTTTCTTCTTTCTCTAAATATACTTTCACTTTCCCCATAGAGCATTCTAAATGTTTTTCAGAATGACTGTACTCAACTATGTAGATGTCTTTAATTCAGCCTTAAAATTAATGATGTGTAGTAGAAAAAATAGAAATTAATGTTTTGTTATGATAGAGATATTCTGAATTCCATCAGTACTGTAGCAACCCTGATAAGCCTGCATAAATGATTTGTTTTTGAAAATTCACTAAATAGCAGTGGAAAAGTTTAATGTGGAATCTAACCACAGCTAATTATATGTATTAGCTATGTTGAGTAGTTTGCTAGCCCAGATAACCTTTAAACTTTGGCTGTAATGGTAATTTACTTAATGGAGAGGCTTAATAGAAATATTGTAACAAATGTATCTCCTTAGACTTACAGAGATTGGATTGGGAAGTTAGAAGACATGAATGTGCTGTGCACACACACACACTGACAGAAAACCATGTCATTTTAATGATTCATAATTTCTAATTAGCCATGATTATTCTGAGTGGTTGTGGATATACATTTTAATTGTATCACATACTGTAATTTCCAATTTCCGCAGAGACGCTGATGAAGTGAAAGTCGTATTGCAAAGTCATCATTTAAATATTTGAGAAATGGAAGGCTTTAAGAGGGATAAATATCCACAGCTTAATTATAATTTCTATTGATCTCAGAAGTCAATTTTGTCCCAGCAATATGGATGACTCTCTGCCTTCAACATCATGCTGGGGTTTGAGAAATGGATGGAGAGAATGCAATGCTACATTATGTATTCAGCCTTCAAGAAGACAAAAAAAGTAGTTGAAAGGGCTGAGGTAGGGAAGGTGAAGCAACTGAACAAATATCTTCCTTGTAGCAGGAGCATGTAGTTTTGCTTAGGATTGAATGCAGAAGGTGAAAGGCCTAGCCTTGACACTCACATTACACACAACTATCTAATAGAGCTACCTGGAGGACACTTAATCAAATTCAGCTTGTCTTTAAGCTTTAAATTCAAAAGCAAAAGAATTGGTTGCACTACAAGGAAAAGAAAATTGCCTGAGTAAGATATGTCTCCCAATAGCTTCTGATGTGAAAAGAGGAAATAAAGCAGGTTAGCAGACATATTGTCTCCATGATTATAAAAACAAGGTGGAGATATGTAGTGGCCTCTTCTAGATGAGAGGACATTTAATGTACCTCTAGGTCATGTAATTTACAGCACACATGAGCTGAATAAACCTGCATGGAATCTTCTTGGAAGGATGTACATCTCTAGTAATTCAAAGCCCAGAATCTAGATGCAATAACTGAATCCATTCTATGCAGTGGCCATTTCTAATGTCAGAAGGGCCAGTTTCTTAACTTGGAGTTTCATGCACACATTCAGGATACTAATTATGAATAAATATACCTACATTGATATTGA